AAAGAATGAATCGCTTCTCCACAAGAACTCTTAACCAACCTTGTGGCCAGTATGGGAGCACGTAGCAGAGCATGCTTTGCAGTCCGTAGTGTTCATACACCCCATCAAGAACCAGCTCCTCTCTTTTGAATGTCTACCATGAGTTGGAGAGCCTCACCTATCGACCGCTTCAGACAGGGTATTTGCAGAAAAATGTCTTTTCCAATCGCCCCTTTGCGCTTTTCTGTTAGTAACTCTCTGCACTGTACCGCAACATTTACTTCTATATATGTGCCAAATTTGGTAGGTTAACTAGCAGTGAGATATCATGTGAAAGTTACTTCCGTCCCTTAAGTTTTGCACACCAGTGTAGTACTAGTTTAGCTGCGCACCGAGCACGAAGGGCGGTTACTGAGAATTATTTGTGGAATGTCTTATCCCGAGTTCCGCAAATAGTTTGCGCTCTTTTTTCTCTTATTCAGTTGATTTTGACCGGAGGTTTAGAATTTTGTTGCAGAATCAAAACTAGCCAAGAATACTTTGTACTCTGATGAGTAAGTCTGATGTTTGCGTGACAGTGCGTTCGCATTATTGAAGCAATGGGGTAGCATATGTGACTTCGACAGATGGGGTGAGACTGAGCAATATTGACTGTGTTTGTAAAAGCGCGGTGGGGTGCCCTAATTGTAGAAATTAAAGGCAAACCCCGGGATTAGCCTGACTTGTGGGAAGGATCTCGCTAGAGAAACTGTAACATCTACCTAGATTACTCTAGCTTCGTCGCAAAAATTGCGCGGTTAGGCGCTAATCCTTACGGGCCTGCAACCATCGACCCCGTTGCAACGCTTCCCACCCACCGCGGATGTAGAGATCAGCGTGCTCTCTCGAACGGCGTGATCTCTCGCGTGTTTTGTCTTCTTTGATCGCCCTGTCTCGCCATCGTACCACATCCGACCTTATTGAAGGTTAAGGCCTTAATTTCAGCGTTCCAAAGATTTCTTGCTTTCCTTTCCACTTTCAGGTCGAGCTCAGTCATTACTACGAAGCACCGCTATCACCAGTTTTATCCCAGATCTTGCCTTTAAGGAAGTTGAGGGCACCGTTTTGGGTGGTTTTTGGTGATTTTCTCCGAAAGTGAAAGTGTGCAATGTAGAGGATATTTCGGCCCCACTTTTGACGCGTTCATTGTTTATTGGCACGTTAGGTCTCAAGTTAGTGCCTGAATTTTGACGGCTACTGTATAATATACATACCAACTAATACCGACCAGAAGGCACGCTGGTCAATCTATACAACAAGATTGTGATAGCGAACAATGTGGAGTGATTACCAGGCTATCAATCGTAATCGTATCCAGGGGCGAGAAAAACTGATGAGAAATGGAATAAAATGATAACCAACCTGTTGAGATTCCAAGTACGCCATGCCATTTATGGTTTCGTAGCAGTAGTTGCGTTTGTCAGTGAGAGGCACTGACTCTTTTTTAATTTTATTGAGCAGTGATCCACCTGGATTAGTATTGTTTCTCACAATTTTTCCCAAAGCATTGACGATTTCTTGTGAATAGTCTCTTCAGGGTGGCCCAAATTACGGTAACAAGAGCATACCGCATGCAAGTTCAAAATTGAACGGCTGGTAGTCCAATTGTAGCTGATGAACACGATATTCGTTCTTTAATTTGTGGGAGCCAAGCTACTAGGTATGGTAAGAAGGGATTCATGACGCAGTCCACAGCTAAATTGAAAGCTTGCAGGAATGACGAGAAGAAACGAGACGATGAGGGCGATCGTACGGTCGAGGAGGAGGAGCTTAGAAGAGGTCATTCGAGAAGGAGTCACCAGCACTGGCAGCCTAAGGTCTATGCCCGCTTCCACCGTTCTGAGATGGAGCTATTATTTAGTTAATTTGTGTTGGCGATGAATGTTATTGCCTCTGTCTGCTGTACTGTAGAAGGATACCACACACTATTCTAACCGGTAGCAGCGAGTGGTTATTGTTATTGGGCGTTATACCCAGCGTATCAACTTCTCCAGTTATCGGTTCATGAGGCTCAGTACCTAGCCCGCCGAACAGATCCCCGCCACGACGATGTATCTCGTCTTTGGAGTGAACATCCACGGTAGTACATTTCGCACAGCAATCTTCATCGAGTCATAAGACAGCGTGCAGTGGGAGATAATTGCACAGAAGTCATTTTCAGGCTATAGTTGGCATCGGAAGCGAACGCCCGCGGTGGTCGGACCATGAGCAATCCACGAGAAGACGTTTCGCCATCCGCGTCTTCAGCCATGATTCCCACTTCGACCGTGAGTCGCATTCAACGCTATTCAATTTCTTTTACCGGTCAGCGAGCAAGACCACAGATTTTTTTTCAGGATCCTCACCGCAGCTAACCCATGGAGAGCCATACGCATGATGCTCCTACCTGATATATGGCCATATATCGCAACCCGGATTTGTATTGCACGTGTAAGTCGTAAACACCGTTAGATATGGTTTTTTCATCGGCTCCTTATTTTTCGCTCATCCCTCTTTCTCAACTGGACCATTTTCTCTAAGGTGCGAGGACGGACGTTTTGATGAAAGGGGAGAGGTGTGAGAGCTAAGCTCAACTAGGTATGCAGTCAATAGGAACAAGGGATGATTCATGACACATAAAACATGACACACTTTAAAGCTGAATTGTAAGCTTGCAGGAAGGACGAGGAGAAACGAGACGACGAGAACGATCGTATGGTCGAGGAGGAGGAGCTGAGAAGAGGTCATTCAAGAAGGAGTCACCAGCAGCGGTAGCCTCGGATCTATGCCCGCT